ATAAAAAAAAAACAATGAGACCGGAACGAGACCGTCCTGTCTAGGTTTGCGTGAACGAAAAAGGTAGAGAGGCCCACCGTGATTGTGTGTAGCACGTGTTTTCTGTGAACTCGCCGCGAGAGTGTGAGCAGGTCTGCGTTAACCAAAAATAAAAGCATGTATTTGCGCGGATGTATGTACACGTCTCGGCTCGCAACAAAGGGTGTACAATTGTGCAGCGTTTTCGAGTAACGAAATATAATAAATATATATATATACATATACATATACCGTGTGTCTTATAATCGGTAGACCAGGACAGAGATTCGACATGAGAAAATAACTCGAATACACAGTTCATTAAATCTCTCTTTCCTCGGTTCAAAGCGAGCTTATTTGCACACGTAGAATCATCGTCATCCTGTCACCGTTACAGGCTCAGACACTTGTAGTATACATATACGGAACAATATGCTGTTGCAGATAGAGGATGCGATTGTCATTCCTAGGAGGCTTTGCCAAACCTGGTCTTGGTGTGCCTCCTCTGTCATCGAGCTGCTCGATGACATGGTGCTGTCGCTGACAGCGGAGGATATCAGAGATCCAGAGAGTGTACCATCGGTGGAGCTAGTCAGCTGTTCGTCTGGCTTTTGCGCGACGAACGTGGTGATCTTTGCGACCCCGGTGGCTATCTGAGGGCCGACAGCAGTCTTTATAATAGGGGGCGGCTGGCAGAGCACCGGTTGCGGTAGGTAAGCCGGCACGTTCGCCGTGCTTGTCACCAGATTGGTAACGTTGCACTGCGAGGACACGGGGCACGGTTGTTGGGTCGCCACGTAGATCGAGGTGCTCGGATGGACGAGCTGCTGCCCGCAGGGCTGAACCACGCCACCCGGCACCATAGCGAACTGCGGCTGAACCGCCGGATGACTCTGCGCCGCGGCCGCGTAAGGCAATTGCTGATTCACGGCTGCCGGCTGAGAGCCGGCCACGTGACACTGCAACATCCCCGGCTGTTGGATTTGCTGCGGGTACGGGCCGCCTTGGTGGACCTTGTGCGCCTGCACGACCGTGACGGAAGTCGCGTGGGCCGTGTAAATCGGATTCGCGCCGCTCCCCTGGCTCTGCTGGCACGTCTGCTGCGGCTGGATGTAAGAAACCGGTTGATGGGCCTGGTTCCCCTGTCGCTGGAGGTTCTGCACGTGTTGCGACTGCGACAGGTAGACCGGCTGCGGCCCCAGTTGACCGATGTTCGAGTAGATTTGCTGCTGGTAATTCTGCGGGTGCATCATCATCTGCGGCTGAGACTGCAGATTCTGAGCGGGCGCCGCGGCGTGCGTCAAATTGCTCCTCGCCGGCGGGACGCAGGTGGCCAGCGAGGCGTTCATCGGCTTCAGCTCGGTCACGGTTTGATTCTGAACGTTCTGCGCGCGGAACTTCAGAACCGGCCCGTACAGGCACTCGGCGTTCGACGCGGGAACAACGACCGGCTCGGTCGACGAACTGACCGGCACGCGAGGATACGCGCCCGCGGCGGATTGACTCTGCACGGGATTCTGACCGACAGCCTGACCTACGACGTACGCCTGACCCGCGCTCGGAGCGGGGAACTGAACGAAGCTCGGGGTCTGTGTCTGACCGGCGGGCCCTACTATACTGTTCAAGCTACTCGGCCCGAAGTTGCCGGGGTTCTCGCCGTAATTGCCGCCCACGCTCGGGCTCTGGCTCAGGTTACCGACTATAGCCGAGCTCTGGGTGAAATTGGCGACCGGCCCGTAGATTTCACCGCAGCTAGCCGCGACGGTGGTCACCGGGACCGCGCTCGACGCGGTGAACTTCTGCACCGGCGAATAGAGGTCTCCGGTCACGCTACCGACCACTTTAGAGCTGACCGCGTACAAATTTTGCATCTCTTTAACCTTTTGCTGCTGTTGCTGCTTTCTGTTCGCAGCGGGTGATTGGGCTTGCGACGCCTCTGAAATGCTCAGGCTGGACATGAGTGGAGCGGCGTCTGAGGAGTCGAGGGAGTCGAGGTTGGTGTCGGACAGGGTGGAGTCGGCCGACTGGGTGTCGTGGGAGGCGGACGGTTCCGAGACGGCCGGGTCAAAGAACGGCAGATCCGAGACCAGCGCGGTGGTCAGAACCTGATCTTCGTCTTGGAACTGAACCGCCAGGGTGTTGAAGGGTGAGGCTGGGGTTGTGTACACGGAGGGACATACCCCCCTGGCTTGATTGTCCTTGAGTAGCTGCGCGAGAACCTCGGGGCTTTGGGCTACGATATAGGTGGAGACTGGCGCCGCGACGGTCAGCTGGGATTGATCCGTCGTGTTCTGCGGTTGCCTCGAAGGTTTCGGCGGCGGTACATCGTCTGCACCTAAATCACCAGAGATTATCTCCTTCGTGTGAGCTCTTAAGCCTTCCTGTACGTACGGGGTGCCTCAACGGTCTTAAAGTGTCTGGAGAATCCAGTTATCTTTCAAGCTACCTCTACTGAGGCACCCCGTATAAGCTTCCTTGTATCCTAGTACATACCCCAAGACATGGCTTGCACTCTCCTGTTCTCACGCTTCATCGTCTCTTGCTGCTGGTGCTTCTCTTCCAACAGAATTTCACTGAAACACGACACGCAGCGATGAGAATCACGCTGGAGTGACAAGTGGGTGAGATACACTTACTGTAAAGTTTCCCTGATCTCCTTGAACGTTGGCCGTTTGCTGGGCTCGTAGCTCCAACACTGAGACATTAGTGAGTACAAACGCGGTGGGCAGTGGTTCGGTAAGGCTAATCTCTCCCCGTTCTCCAACTTGTGAATCACGTCGTGGTTCTTCACGCCCTGGAACGGCTTCACTCCCAGCATCAGAATCTCCCACATACAGACGCCTGGGAGGAGGGAGAGAATAGAATTCTGTTACTTGAAAAAACGTGCGGGAGCATTTATTCTCAGCAACAAAGCTAACCGAACATCCAGACGTCGGAAGACGTAGTGAATCTACGGAAATTGATACTCTCAGGCGCCATCCACTTGATGGGCAGCTTACACCTGCTTGCCGTGTAGTAGCTCTGATCCTCTACCCATCTGCTCAGCCCGAAGTCCGCTAGCTTCACGCAGTTATGCATCGACACTAGGACATTTCTCGCAGCGATGTCTCTGCAGAGCAAAAGTTTACATCATGTTTTAACTCTTTTTATCCTGAAGATACTTCAAGTTGCTGTTCAAATTCAGCAGATAAGTTGAATAAGAGATAATAGTAGAACAAGTGTTACCTGTGCACAAATTTTTTGCTCTCAAGGTACGATAAGGCAGTGCTCAATTGAAACGTGTAAAGCAGAAGCGTAGCTAGATCCAAACGCTGTTTATTGGACTGTAAATAGGCTCGCATCTCTCCTAGCCTGGCCAGCTCCATCACCAACCAGATTGGTGCTTCCGAGCACACTCCAATTAGTCGTATAATATGAGGATGCTCGAACTGCTGCATTATGTCTGCGGCGGATACACATTTATTAAGGACTAAATGACTGGAAGTTCTAATTCCACTGATTGGTAGATTAGCATTCTTACAGGCTTCCTCGAGGAACTTCTCAGACGTGGCGAGATCCGCGTCCACTTTACAGGTTTTCACCGCGACGGCTATAACCTGGTTGTCCCTTCCTTTATATGAACCTTTATGTACATTGCCGAACTGACCGTTCCCGATGATCTCGCCTAATTCCACTTGGTTCCTGACTATCTCGTAATCTCGTGCTGAAACCATTCACCGATATTATCAGCGGATTCCTTTATCTTTAAACACTCATATCTAATACTCATTATTCTAGACTACACTGCAAGACTCTTGCAACTCATAAATCTACAAATTCAATTATTACTGTCAACAAAGTAGCTTCTTACTCGCTGGTGTCGAATAATCTCCCTCTTCATCCACGATCTCCGCGTAATCCTCCGACAAAATGGTCCCAGTCTTGCTGACATTCTTCTCGGGACTGTTGGACCCGTCTTGCCTGTACTTGGGCGGATGGGCGTCTGTTCCAAAGCAATGTAACTCTTAATAATTGGTGGTCGATTCGCGACCGGTGCTCATGCAGTATGTCTACACCAGACACGTTAAGTCTACGGGATCATACAAGAACTACAAACCTTTGCATGGACAGGGATAGTTTTTCCACGATGCAGCTTGCAAGTATAAACGATTAGAAACTTAGTTGTATCGTTCGTAAATGTAAAAGGGGGTCTCGTGCTAGGTACACGTTTGCATGTGTGCGTTCATGTGTGTCTAACGATATGTACTTATCGATCAACCAACGTACTAAGTCTTCGAGTACAATCAAAGCTAAGATAAGAAAACTCTTGGTATCGAAACGTCACTGCTAAACAATATATATGTATATGTATATGTATGTATATATATATACGTGTGTAAATAGAAATTATTCGAGTATCGCTGAACATTTACTTCGTATTCTGGGACATGCCATGATCTTTTGGGGGATTCTTTGTGGCAGAGACATCAGCCTAGCTGGAGAGGTACCTTTTCTGTTCCACAACGACGTGTTGCTCCCGGTGACCACTCTGCAGTACCCATCGATCAAGTCTGCGAGACTCTCCGCTTGGTCCAGGCTTGAGCAAGTGATGCTGAGCGTCTCCGCTGCCCCTGCTACCCTCAGTTTGATGCACGCCTTCGCGTGCTCCTTGCAGTCCGAGACCAGAGTCTGAATTGATTGTATCTGAGAGAACTCTGCCATCCTCGTTGGCTGCAACAGGATTCGTTAAATCAGAAACAAACTGCTTCAGTTATTTCTAAAGTACAACACCATGCAACAAATAATAAACGTACCATTTTACTCAAATAAATACTATATTACTAAGCACCAATCTTACTCAGTATTAGTTTACAATATTATTCAATAATAAATACTCAACATTAGAGCAATAAAGAAATAACTCAGGAAATAGGCTAAGCAACTTGTCCAGATTTTAAGTGAACCGCAAGGGGTGAAAAATGAAAAGTTCAATGAGGATAGCAAGGGTCACTGTCCTGTCTCATCGATTCTTTTCTAAGACGATCTTTTGCAAGACAATGCTCTGACAGCGATGAACCTACCACCGTTCCACCCCTGTGAGCCATGTAAGATATGCCTAAATCCGGTCCGATGACTAGTTCCACGGGTATAGACCAGCTCGACTGTAAACAAGAGAAGCGACAAAGTCAGTATCAAGGGTGACTGGCAAGAGTCATAAGAGGTGTACGGTAGACAGGCGACAATAGATAAGACTACTCACCCCAAGAGCGCATATAAACCTCTCCTGGTCGAACCTGCAGTGCGCCCTCAGCAGATCGAAGAACTTGTACATGCATTCCAGCTCCGACAGTACGGCCACCTTCTTGAAATGCTGCTGTATCAGCTTGCGCAGCGCCTTTGGTTTCATTACGTTCAAGACAGTCCGCGGTAGATACTTGTGCAGACCGAACTGCGGGCAGGGGTGCGACAATCCTTGTTATATTAACCCTTAACCCCTTGCTCCTACGATTTACTACGATCGATACAACTACTTTATCATTAACGCGTTGACACTAGAACTACCGAGCATTTAATACGATCGATACGTAATCTCTATAAAAATTGTAACAATAGATTATTTCCAGTTTCTTTGGATGTTCACAAAAATAAAGAAATTCACAAAAGTGAAATCACTGGTTTCGATTTTTTGTTTAGCAATTATTGATATCTTCGAAGCATTGAATGTTCGAAATGATTTTAAAAATAAATAGTTTCATTTCAGTTTCTTTGGATGTTCATCATAGTACTCAAACGCCTGTGTGTACAAAAGTTTAAGTTGGTTGATTATCTAATGTCGTTTGTCATTTTGCAATAAAAAATTAAATATGTCAATTTAACTCGGTATATTAATGCGTGACTTCAAAGTCACACGAGCCTACAGAGGGTTAACTTGTCCGAGTATTTTCACGATGAACGCAAAGGGTTGAAACTTTTGACGCGCTACTAATTGGTAACGTTTCGAACTCCTAATTCCCATCATCCTCGTAAGTTTACCTCTCTCTCCAGGAACTCGATGTTGCTCTTCTTATCGAGGGCCATCTGAGGCATATCCTTGTAAGAGTAGCGTATCTCCAGGCAGCACATTTGCATCGCCACGTCCAGGTCCAGGGCTGCGTGGTTCGCGTACAAATAATCGTTCCGAATCTGCGGGAGTAATGTTTCCGTTGGTGTTATCGATTAACTAGATAAACTTATGTTGTATAACTTAAAGAAACAGAAGGAACAATAAAAAATGGTATCACCGAGTTACTACGATTATTGACTTCACGAACTTGTACAAATAATCTCTCTTTTTCCATTGTTTATAGCGTAGACTTTAACCACCTGCGCTGAAAATGAATTTACAGATTCGACAAAGTCTCGCGCGACGAACTTTGTTTTCACCTATTTTACGCAGATGTGCACATTAATTTCGTTAATCGTTTTGTATAGAGTGATTCATTTCGAAACTAATATGCGCAATGCAAGATTATCAATGTGTAACAGACATCGTTAACCATTTTGAAACAGAAACGTCTCGACGTGTGTAGCACGTCTTTCCAGCGTAAGAGGTTAAGATTAAAAAAATACTATAACAGCAAAGTACCTGGTCGTAGTAGTAGTAGAACGTCGCTTTGTCCTTCTCGTACAGATCCTTCATATTCTGCGGCAGGTACCTCACCCTTAACTCGTACCTCCACTCGGAATGGGGATGCTTCTTCTCGTATTTCTCTTGAACCTAACGATGAATTCGCGATTAACGGATATCCAAGTGAATGTATGAACCTTCTTCAAAGATCAATCCACCAGAATACCGGTTAAACAGACGTTCGTCTGTTTCGTCAAAGATTTAATCACCTAGTCTTCCATCAACCCTTATCGGACGCTAGCTTTGCATACATGATTCTCACTAAGTTATAGTTGTTTGATAGGAACGATTTATTCTATGAAGCAGTATTACATAAGCTTCGAATAATTATTTATCTTTCAATGTATATCCTTTGAAACAATTATTCATAACATTGTTTCAAAGGATATACATTGAAAGCTTATAAATAATGTTTAACTTGAATGTTCATGTAACGTACGATTAGAACATACTATACAGAATACAATAAGTCCTTGTTAATCTTAATCTTATTACTAGAATCAAAATCACCTTCATAACTGCCTCCAAAGAATTCACTGTCATCTAAATTCATAAACTTCTCTTCATTCATGTTTTGCGGAAATATTAACCCTTTGAACTCTGTAGGCTCCAATAATGCAGGAATAACACTAGATATTTTAATGAATCTTAAACTACCCTAAAATTATTCGATTTTCCACACATCCAAATTTTCTACTAACAAGGATAACAAAAGATCTAAGAAAGATCTAACAACTGTGCGCATATTCATGGTTTCGACATGATCTTGTCACGCACGTGGCGTGCGACCACAACGAACTACCATTGCCACGAACTACCATTGCCTACCATAACTCATCAGAGGTGACTTACTCCGTTGAGGGTTGAATTCACAAAATCACCGTCTAACCATTAAAATGACTCATCCCCAACTCATCAATTCACGTCTAAAGCGTGAATTACAGAATACTCTGAAAGACAATGAACACATCAAGCCAGCAAACTCAGCACGACAATAAACAGAAGCTACTTTGGCAGGTCCTATCAGCCTCAGGCCCAGAAGCGACTTCACTGTTGCCATTTCCGGGCCCGAAGGGGAAACTAATTTCGCTGCATCGAGTCAGCTGGCATTTCACCCTTTGACAGACCGCTCTGTTTGTGTTCCCGCTGGTTCCGCCGGCTTACCGTGTCCCCGTCGTCGCGAACTTTAGGTTCGGAGGTGCGCGGTACCTGATACATGGTGGTGTCTTGGTGCAACCAGTAACTCTCCCCCGACCCAGGGTGATGCAGCCTCATGGCGTAGAGGTTTTGGTAGTGTCTCGGGCCGGGCGCCAATCGACTGGTCAGGAGGGAGATGATGCCTCGCACGTCGATCGCGTCGCCGAATTTCACGACGTTGAAGCCGCCTGGAAAGTTAACGGATGTGTTCAACCGAGCGACGCGTGTTCCCCAGCGTTTCTTACTCGCAAAGTTACGAGCAGAAGTTGGTACACCTTGCTAGGATTTCATCTGACGATCTGGGATCGACGTGGTAGTTGAAACTAGTGCACACATTAACACGTTAAGCGCCACGAGAATCGAACGTTTTATACATGATTTGTTCCGTCGTAGCAACGGTAAATAGGAACGATTATTAATTATTTGGCATAAGAATTCTTACATCGCGATGTTGTTAACTTATTTATGTTATTAAATATTAGGTTAAAGTTTGGCAGAGGAAAGTACAAATCACTCGATTCTGCTGTTCCCATTACATCAGTCCTATTATAAAACGGTAGAGAACAGTACAATACAAAGTTACACGAACGATAATGGAAATTTTCAGTTTTTAACACGTTGAGTGCCATGGTGGTCACCGGTGACCAAATTGAATTACTATAGTTCACTTAGATGACGATTATTTGAAGATATTTCTATATAATATACAATGCTACCCGATGCGGTATTCAGCTGGATGTAATAATAACAACGCAATTCAATTAAATGATTTAATAGTATCTTCTTTCCATTCTGTGTATTTTTCTCTATAAAATCGTGCAGCGTTCAACGTGTTAAGCTCCGCCAAGGTTGTCATTGAAATCCGAATAGTCGATTGAGGAAGAAACATTAAAAGGATTATCAAAGGAACTCACCGTTCGGCAGATGGACCTTCAACGTCGCTTTGTCCATGGGGGTGGGCGATCCGTGGGGCGGCGTGTTCCTGCCGCCGCCGCTGCCCTGCACACCGCCGACACCGCCACCACCGCCATCTCCCACGCCAGTGCTCATCCCCTCATGGCTGACATGGAAAAAAGGAGCGGAAAGAGGGAAAAATGAAAGAACGATAAAACAAGAACGTAAGGCTTTGGTCGATCGACGGCGGCGGCAACGGGAGCGCGTCAATTATGCATTATCCCGTAAAACCTCGGCAACGCGCTACCCGCTTCAAGCGGAAGCTTGCCGAGGGGATTAATTATTCACCGGGCCATAGAGGAAAAGGATTTCCATCGGGAGCGCCCAGGAATTTTCGCCGTCGCGAAAGCAACGGATGATAATAAGGCGGACGCCGGCTTTTCTCTGCGCCGAGCAGCGTTCTCGCGTCGCCCGGACTGCGTTGTTCGCTTAAAAACGACGGTGAATCGATTACTACACGGCGTAACCTTTGTTTTATGTCAATATCACCGTTGCATTTGCGATTGAGCAGTGTAAAAAACATGTAACGAGAGGGGACGGAATTATTTAGCAAATCCGCGGTCGTTCGATCGCAGAGGGAGATCTTATTTACTTTTGCTACTAAGCTCAAAATGTTTCTATCAGCAGTCTAGAAAAAACGCAAAGAAACTGTCCACTGCACTTTATGTACAAATTTACTTTCAAGATAATATATCGGTAATAAAATAGTTTTTTGCTTCGATCCATGCGCATTGAACAATATTCATGTTTACTGACACTAGGTTTACGGAGTGCGTCAATTCGACGCATACTGAATTTTATAAACATTACTTGGCAAACGTTTATGTCGGTAATAACTTAATTTTCAATCCCTAATTTTCAAGATCCTAGTGTTAAACTAATGCCGAAATCTTCGTCACGAGTCTGACTCGTCATTGCACGGCAAGGGGTTAATTTGCAATTTTTCACATAAATGTTAAGAATCGCGTGGAAAATCGAGAAATCGGTTGTTCACGTAAGGAACAGGTAGTATAAAGGTGATCACATTTTCAGCAACGACTGGAGCTCGACGGTGACTCGATGACGAAGATACTCCGATTGCAGGCGGATTTTCGTCGAGGACCGCACACAACACAGGCAGTATCGGCACCAGTAGACTATTTCGAGGTACACGAAACGATACATCGGAACACGATTTCTCACGCGATCTCTTCGAAACAGTCCCGAACGTCGTCTGACCGTACACCGGAATTTTCCGGACGGGACGGACACCGATTTCCAGAAACGTCGCGTGTCACCACGTGTACGCACACGGCGAGACTGATCGAGAGTGACCATTGCACCAAGAAAGCGCATTCTCCTTATCAGTTTGATTGACTCATCGCTATATTGGCGCAACCGAATTCTCGCGAGCCGGAGAAAAATTTTGCAATTTCCTACGACTCTATTCTTCCCAGACTGCGCTGAATTTCTGCACAGTTTCGCAATAGTTGCGTTACAATTACGTAGTTTCTCGTTTTCAACGGTGAATTCCCGTTGGAGGAACGAGCGAGCGAACGAATGGAGACGCTTTTATTTCCAAACTCGTTCCAAGATTCTCCGACCGGACGTCGCGCGAACTGTTAACGGAAACAGAACGTGAATGGGTTCGAAAAAATGTCTGAATAAAATAAGCTGCAACGTTCCAGCGAGAAGTCGCCCTTCGTTGGTTTTAAAGGGTGAAAGGGCGGCGACTGTGTCCGTTGAAATCGCGGGGCGAGATCTACCCCGGCACGGCTGCCGATAGAAAGTTCGTCTAGCGTGAACAGACGGACGGTCGTTTTTTCTGAAAAGGGCCGCACGTGTCTGCACGCAACCGCGGCCCCATTCAAGCGCCGCGTTCATCCACCCTTCGGACGCGCCCTTCTGACACATTTGCGCGCGGGGACTGCACTCGGTTACCGTCTCGTTCGCGGCGCGGACGTTGCGATCGAACGGCTCTCGTGACGGTTCGCAGGAAATTTTGATGGGGATCGCGATAAACGTTAACAGGGGAAACGAGTTAACTCGACGTGCGTGCTCGAAATACTCCGACGGATACGGGAGATTCGAATCGTCCGTTGGTTTTCGAAATTACGTTGCTCGGCGGTGGCGCTGGTAACAGTAGAACTACCAGTCAAAATGACTATTTTCAAAATCATTTTGAATATTGATTGCTTCGAAGATATCAGTAATTGCTAAACAAAAAATCGAAACCAGACATTTTGACTACGGTAGTTCTAGTGTTAGCAGCCCCATCGCCGAGCAAACTATTTAGTTTCAAAATCATTTCGAATATTCAATGCTTCGAAGATATCAATAATTGCTAAACAAAAAAATCGAAACCAGTTTCACTTCAGTACTATAATGAATACCTGAAGAAACTGAAAATAATTTATTAAATAATTTATTAATTATTAAGTTGCATAGCTAAGTGTCTTCATATAACGAGATTTATCGTTGCCAGTATGCAACGTGTTAACTAAGATTTTTTTCAAGTTCCGCACCTGTTTCAATGTTTCACCACTGAATTTCGAGTCTTTCGTGAAGTTTCTTATAGATTCTTATCGTAAGTTGCATTTTAATTCGAATTTAATTGAGATATATTGAATTCACTCGAGAAAATATGTTTCTCTGTTTTAACAACTTCTCAGCGTCTTCCAATTATACCGGTTTCAATTCTAGCGATTACTCCAGTTACGTAACACAGATACCTGCTCGAAAAGCAAGCCAAGGAACACTTGGTACGAGCGGACGGCGTACGGAGTCCTTTTTTATTCAATAATCGATCAAACTTTGGAGCCCCGGAAACTTCTCCAGTTAAAGCGAAGCAGCTCGAACCGGCCGAATAATCGCGACACTCGAAACTTCCCGCGTTATTGGCTCGGTTTCGGCTCTTTCGGCGGATTAAACCGTAGTTTGCCCTCTTCCCTAACTACTCGACAGTTCCGTGAGCTTCGTTCGTCGTTTGTGTGCGAAGCTTTTATTAATATACTCGAAAATCCGCGCGGGAATCGCCGATCGGCTTCTCCGAGCGCGTCCTTCGACTAAGAACGTCATCCGAGTGATTTCATTTGGCCGTGATTCCATCGCGATTGCGAAACCGCTGAACGTCCGCGCGCGCACGAGCGTTAAGGGTGAAGAAAAGAATCGGCCGGTGGCTTAATGGCCCTATTTAAAATCGTGAATGGCTCTGTTGCGTGCCCGGAAACGCCTGATTTCGGCCGTTTGTATTCACCGTGAAAAATGCCTCAACGCCCGCGATCCCACATCCTCTAGTTCGCCGCGTGGTCGCAATGCGGACATTTGCAATTTAGATAAGGATTCTTAGCCTCTTTCTATCCGTGATGTCATGAAAATCAGAATTGATCACTTGCTTTCCGTAGGAACGACTTCATAGCCCACACTCGGATCTTATAATGCAAGCGATCGATCAATTACTTATTCAAAGAAACAATTAACCCTTCGCACCCGACAGTTTTCCACTAGATAGATTTTAACTCGGAACTTCGTAGGCTCTAATATTGCACCAGTTGTGTCAAATATTTTAACGAATCAAAGGAACTACTCTAAAATTATTCAATTTACTACGCATACAAATTTTGTACTAAGGAAAATGAAAGATCGAAGGAATGTTACAGCATTTCTCATTTTCACTAGAGATACCATAAAAATTAGTTGCTGATAAATTACGAAACCATCTGGAGTGCTAAGGGTTAAATCATTCGATCGAATTGCATTACTATTCCACGTTCGTCTAGCTGAATGTCACTGTATTACGTAGCATTATTTATAATAATGTTTGCATATAATCGTCGTTTCATTCAGTGAACTGTAGTAATTCGATTTGGTCGGAGGTCATCGGTGACCTCTCGAGTTCAAAGGTTTAATAATATATACTATTATTATTATTATTAGTAATCCTATAATAGAAAACCAGCAACGATCCATCCAAAGAAACAAAAGTAATTTTGTTATATCAAATCAAATGACTGAGAGTCACTTCTCGAGTGCAAAGGATTAATACTACATTTTCTCCATTCTACGTATTTTCCTCTGTAAAATCGTTCAACGTAAAGAATCACCTTCCCCCGAAATGCCTCGAAAAACCGAATTCTCATCGAAGAATTCGGTACCAATAATCTCGAACGCACTCGAACGTCATCGAACCAGGAAAAGCGCGTCGATGCACTTAACGCACCCGCCCTTATCTCCGGTGAATGATTATCGAAAAAAACGAGACTCGCGGCTGACCCGGGACCGTTGCCCCGTTGTCAGATGGCCAGTCGGTCCCAGGGTTAATGCAAATGTGTATTACGAGCCGTGGCCCAGCTAAGGAATGCCGTCGGTCAGGGACGAAGCACTTACGCGAAGAGCCACGGAGAGTTGTTCGGCTAATACGCGGGGCTCGGGCACGCGGCCCGAATCGGGTCGATCTTAGTGGCACTGAACATCAAAGAGCGACGGCGAGCCGGGTTCAAGCTCTGGCCACGTTTCCACGAACGAGACGCACGCGTGGACGGAGCCACCGGCGAGCGTTCGTTGCTCCTCCGCGGTGAATTCATTCCGAGCAGCGAGTTATTTATCGCTGTTATCCATTTGTTGCATCAGGAGGTTACGATAGCCTGTTCACTTGCTAAGACGAGTATATCCGTCGCGAGCGATTCTCTCCGTAACTGGATGATCTCTGGATTTCTCCTCTGTCCAGGAGCTTATGCGTTCATGCATATTGCGTATGAGTATAGTGATGGTATAGTGAAATATGGGAAAGTAGGACAGTGGAATTTATATTCTAATAAATAGTAATTAATAGTAATTAATATTCGTTAAATCAGTAGTAATAGTAATTTATATTCTAATAAATAGTAATTAATATTCGTTAATATTCGTTAAGTAAGTAGTAATAGTAATTTATGTTCTAATAATAATAGTGAATAGTAATTTTCTTGGAGATTTTTCGATTCGATTGTGTAGAAGAAAGATTGTACGTCATATCGAGAGAAAAGGAATGTAAAGTGACGTAAATAGTAATTTTCTTGGAGAGTTTTTGATTCAATTGTGTAGATTCACACTGTATATCGAGAGAAAAGGAATGTAAAATGACGTAAA